TATAATCAAATAAAGCTCTTTATAGCCGAAACTAAGTTATACGATGAAGAACACACATAAAGATGAAGAACACATATAAAGATGAAGGATATCGAGGTATCCTCGGTATCAGTTAGAGCCAATAAGTTTCAGTAAGAAGAGAGAGAGAGAAAGAGATATTATTGTACTTGTGGAGAAATGGAGCAACATCAGACCCTTACAAGGTAGGGCGAGTCCCCTTTATATAGGAGGGGAACTCAGTTACGAATACATGTATATTTAATTTACGAAATATGGAGATGCGATGGCTTGACGTGACGCCTCAGCGTAGGCCATGGATAGGCCGGACCTGTCAGACTCAACCGCGTGTCTCGGGGGCTTCCCCTCCTTGTCTTTATCTCGGCCTCGAATTGGGCCTTGACAAGCCCCTAAGGAGAGGGCTAAGTTGTGGCTTCATGTCCTCGGGGTCTCGAGGTACCTCCCCGAGATGGCTTAATGGCGGGAAATCGGGCCCTCTGATTTCACCGCGTACATATAGTCTCCGCATTTTCAGAACGAAGCGATAGGAAACGATTATGACCATTGACTCCTCGAACTCCTCATGGCGATAGTACACTGGAGATTCGGATCGTGGCACAATCTTTTGTGATAGATGGCATATCTCATAGACTCGTGCTCAATACTCTGTCATTTCCTTTCTTGAAGGTAAAAAGTATTGCCGTCGATTCAGTTTTTCAAGGATGCAATAATTGCATTCGTCGGTCAGTCTTCCAGAGCCTCAACGACCGTGTTGTTGCCCCCTATAAATGGGGTGCCTTGGCGTTGTTTTTCCTATCCCAGTACCTTCGCCGGCATGCATGCCTATCCCTTCTTGTCATCTTCTTCTGCCTTTGAACATCATGCTTGGGGCTTATGGCCTCAAGGTCGTTAGGAGGAGCTCCCTTAAGATGTGCTATGGCCCTTCGCCGGGACGTCCCTTCATTGAACATAATCGCGTTGTCCCGCTATGGTCGTTGGTATGTTGGTGTTTCTAGCTGCTGTTGGCCCGAGGTGGCGATGGATGGGGAATCGGTCTCCCTCTTACGTAGACAGTCGTTCGGATTATACACCGCTGCTCACTATCCTACCCGGGCCTGGTATGGCACCTCATCCTTAGGGCTCTTTCTTTCCCGAGGGATAAGGTGGCCCTACCGGACGTCGAGGTTGAGGCCCGCCGAATCTTCAACCTTTGGCTTCGGCGGGCTATGTCTCTTTTCTCTGCCTCCTCTGCGTTCCCTCCTTTTCTTCTTCTTCATCTCCTCCGACGGGTATCCCTTGAGGGATTGAGCTGGGAACCTAGAGGAGGTGGAGGTCGAAGGAGTCACCCTCGAGGGTGCGACGCTCGAGGATGATGATACCGGAGATGCACCCTCGAGGGCGGACTGGGCTTCTGGGTTTCATCACATTTACATCCTTCCGTTCCTTCGCTCTAGGGGTAGACTCCCGTAGGCTTTTGTAATTGTATGTAATGACCCTTTGAGGGCTGTTGTACATGAAGTTTTTATGAATATGAATATATCCCTTTGATGTCCGCTTTCGATTTATGCTGAGTAACTGTATGTTTTCATACTCCTCGAGGCCCTTTGACTGCCCCCTTTTACTTTTTGACTGCTAATATTTAACCCGGGTGTGAGCATCCTTTCCGCTCCTCTACTGATCGATATGGCTCCCTTTCGAGGACATCGTTGTACCTTGGGGCAATCCTGGATTGATCGGATAGGACTGAGCTGCCTGGGCCCTTCGAATTGCATGGAGATAATGTGTCGAATTTCGGGGACTTCGAGGATGTTATCCTGGATGAAGGCCAGCTTCGGGTACCGGGGGTCCCCTTTGATTTTCGATGCGGACAGCTTCCTTCAGATACGTACGAGATAGATTTTTTACTGAGGGGTTGCCTACACTCAGTCACCGCTTCGAACCTTTGCGGAGCTTTTGCGATTGGAGCTTCTTGCGTTTATTCTTTCTTTTTTAGAAAGGTAATCACGAAATCTGAAACTACCTTGCGTTGAGTGACGGCATGGAAAGTTTCATAAATTTCGATTTCTCTTTGGTAGGGATCCTTTGAGCGGGATGCTATCTCGAACTTGGAGATAATACGGACGGTTCCTCGAGTCTTGGGTTCTTGTCAAAGGATACTTTCGGGGTTAGGTATCACCCCATTGGACTATACCGATGTCGTAGGTTCCCCGGGGCTTACTCCGAGTAGGCGAAACGTTGCCGCTTCTCAGCATATAAGTGGGGTGGCCTCGGCTTCTTCGCAGGGCTTCACTATTTTTAGGTAGCTGTACTCCCGCTTTGGCATAGGGTTCCTCATTTCCCTAGGTGCAAAAAGTGTTGGTGCGTGCCCTTGCTTTGCTCTGTTAGTTTTACCATAGTCATGGCAACCACTTCGGGGATGTCATGGCAGAGAGCGGAGAGTGCTGTTCCCGGTGCTCGGGAGCGGAGGGATTTCGTTCTGAAGACGGTATCTTTGATACGGGGGGAGAATTTGGAGATGGTGAGAAAATACTGCGGATGGAGCGAGGGGATAGCGCTGCAGGTGCTTCTTTCGGGAGAGAACGTTACGGATTCCACCGACGGATTTTTGAGTGTATACCTGTATGCTTTCACGTTTGGGCCCCCTGACAGGGTCGTGCTTGATTTTTGCTTGAAGTATCGGGTTACTTTGGCGTAGATATATCCGTCGTTTTGGCGGGTGGTGCTGATGATGAGGTTCTTTGTGGAGAAGGCCGATCTTGAATTCACGCTCGATTACCTCATCCGGCTATTATCGGCCCTTTCATCACCAGGGCCTGCTAACCCTGAAGTGTCGTTTGTCCACGCCCTTTGTTGTCGATGAAGAAGAGGAGGGGGGTCGAGAATGGGCCGGTTGGTTCGTATGGGTCCGGACGGCCGACATTATCCCCGTGGAGCTTTTGCCATTTCCCGAAGGGTGGAATTACGCACGTGAGTGAAGCGTCTGGTGCTTTTTCAGGTTGTACCTATAGCGGAAGTTAGTTAAACAATAGTGTTTTTACCTTGTTGTAGCAACTTCATGGATGCCGAGCGAAGTCTCTGATCTGCCCGGCTGGATCCGAAGGCTGGTGACCCACTCGTCCTGCGACGAGCGTGGGTGGCGAGTTGTGCTTCGTGTCAGGTGGGGAGCAAAATATCAAGGTATGTGTGCATGCTGCCTTTGCCTTGGCCTTCACATACTTGAGGTAATATTTTCCCCTTTTTACTTGCATTGGATTTGCTGCTTGCAGGCATCGGGCAGTTTCTCGGGATGAGACGGTGTTCTTCCGAAGAGGGGAAGGAGTCGTTGACCCCTCTTCTTTCCCCTCGAGGCGATGGAGCTCCTAGTGGTGCTGATCAGGAGATGGCGATCCGTATGAAGGATGTCGCGGATGCCCAGGTCGAGCTGAAGCGAGCCCTCGATTGGGAGAAAAAGATCGAGGAATATATCCGTTGCAGATCCCGAAGAGAAGTACTCGAGGAGATTGGCGCGAGGGGCTTTATTTAGATTTGGCTGCAAGAGAGGCAGCCCAACAATGAGAAAAAATTGCACGGGATGCTGAGGAAGCACCTATTAGAGATGCACAGATTATCTATGAAGAAGAGAGGGGTCGGAGAATTGCTCAAAACCAACCCTTGGAAGCAGACCAGTTTGGAAATATAGCTCCCAGGCCTGGGAGTCCACTTGGCGATTATGCTAGACCGGTCTATAATCAAGGATTATCAAGTGTTAGACCACCTCCAATTGCAACAAACAATTTCGAGTAGCAAGGGTTGCTTCAAACTCTTCAGAATTGCTGTGTCTTCAGAGGGAAGCCAAACGAAAATCCAAACACTCATCTAATGGATTTCGAGGAGATTATGAACACCTTTCAATATAATAGGGTGTCACAAGATGCAGCGTACTTAAGGGCATTCCCCTTTTCACTTAAAGATGATGCGAATGAGTGGATTCGAAGTTTGCCAGTGGATCGATTAGAACCTGGGAGGAGATGACCAAAAAATTCCTTGATAAATATTTCTTCTCAGCTAAGACGGGCAAGATTAGAAGAGAAATACATATCTTCTGCCATAAAGAGACTAAAACTATTTTTGAAGCATGGGAGAGGTTTAAGGAGATAGTAGCGGAATTGAACTCTGGATGCAACTCCAGGACTTTTGGGAAGGATTGACACCGGCCTCACGTAGAACATTGAGCAATGCAGTTGTAGGTCCTTTGATGAAGAAGACTCCAGAGAAGATAGTTAAAATTCTTAATGAGTTATCTTAAGAATGATAATCAGTGGTCCTCTGAGAGTGCTGAAAGAAGAAGATCAACTAGTGTTCACCAAGTTGATGCTCATACATCTGTGCAGGTACAACTTGATGCTATGGCTAAAGAAATACATAAGCTGACCTTAGCTTCCATGCAAAATGAGCCTCACTCGGCTTGTGATATATGTGTAAGAGGACACCCTACTCATGAGTGTCAAGCCTCAACTGAGGAAGTGAATGCTGTGGGAAATTATAATGCAATGGGTCAGATGCTTCCCGGTTTTTCATGGAGTTCACCTGGGGGTACTACAAATGCATGGCAATAAAACAACCCTGGACCCTAGGGACAAGGAGCTCCTGATTTTATGAATCAGCAGAGGTAGCAATTTCAACCTCAGCAGCCCATTCAGTCTGGCATAGAAGATCTCATGAAGGCCTTCATTCTCAAAACTGATGAGAGGCTTGAAGCTCAAAGCCCAGCTATTAAAGAACTGGGCATGGGTTTTCAAAACCTGGAAACACAGGTTGGGCAGCTAGCCACTCTATTGTCTGAGAGGATTCTAGGAGCTCTCCCCGCTGATACTGAAAGAAATCCCAAAGAAACAATGAATGCTGTAACCTTGAGAAGTGGGCAAGTGTTGAAAGATCCCACTCCAATCCAAAATGAGGTGATACTTGAAAAAGAAAGTGGGGAGCAACTGGAAGGTGATGTTGATTAGAAGAACAAAGGCCAGATGAAAGTTGAGAAGAAAAAGAAGGATGAAAACTCGAGAGGGGAGAAACCCGAGGAGAGCAAGTATATGCCTGCTCTACCTTTCCCTCAAAACCAAAGTAGAGAAAAACTGGACAAGCAGTCTGGGAAATTTCTGGATGTGCTGAAACAGGTTCATGTAAACTTACCATTCACAGAAGTTCTCTCACAGATGCCTACTTATGCCAAATTCTTGAAAGATATCCTTACGAAGAAGAGGAAGATAGAGGAAACCTCAGTGGTCAAGCTCACAGAGCATTGCAACGTGATATTGCAAAATAAACTCACACAAAAGTGTGAAGATCCAGGGAGTTTTACAAAAGTGTGGAGATCCAGGGAGTTTTACTATACCTTGCTCTGTAGGAACTATTATTTTGATAAATCTGTATGTGATTCTGGTGCCTCAATTAATTTAATGCCTCTATCTATGTACAGGAAACTAGAGAAGGAGATGGGAGAGGTAAGGTATGTGCCAATATCTTTACAGTTGGCAGATAAAACAACTACAATACCCGAGGGAATAGTGAAAGATGTGTTAGTTTGGGTAGATAGGTTCGTATTTCCTGTGGAATTTATAGTGGTAAATATGGAGGAAAACAGGGAGGCCCCCCTCATCCTAGGAAGACCATTCTTAGCGACGGGTAGAGCTATATTAGATATACACGAGAGGAAACTCATGCTTAGAGTGGGTGAGGAGACTGTGACTTTTAAGATGGATGTAGAAAAGGGGGCACAAAAGGACAAGTCATCTGTGAGTGTTGAGTGGAAAGTAAAGGGTTCGAAAGAGAAGGCTGTGGTGAGCGAGAAAGATAAGTGTGGGGTGTACCCCAAGAAGGCCGAGAAGAAGCTGTCCGCATGGATGTGTGCATTAGTTCGGAGGCGAGGGATGGAGCCGACTTCGACTCAGACCCCGACTAGATGTTTAAGGAAGTTTCCTTTACCTTATGCTTTTTAATTGTGTGTCATGGGGACATGACACAACTTAAAGTGTGGGGTGAGTGATATCTGTATGTATGTTTGTATGTATATGTGTTTCTTTTTGTTAGTTGTAGTAGTTAGAGATAGAAAAAAAACAGAAAAAAACATAAAATTTTAAAATTTTCGATTTTTCCCGACGATGGATATCATCGACAAGTTTCTTGAGGGATTAAAGTCGAAGGAAAAAGACAAAAAAATATTTTCTTTTGTTAGGTTTCTTAGGTGTAGAAAACCTCGTGCTATGATTTGAATTAAAGGCAATATCTCTTGACTTTATTATACCTTGAGAATAGTAAGTGCTTTAGTTGTGACTCTTAGGCTCAGTTTTTGACTCTTGCATAAGTACCTTAAAGTGTATGATCGTAACTTTGCTTAACTGCTTTGACTAGAGTGTCTTGATAGACCGATCTTGAGTGAGTTATGTGCCATGTGTGTGAGGTTTTGTGTTATTCTGTGCAGTGCGTTTGATGTCTAGTACTTGCCCGTATGTTTGCAAAGCGAAATAGTAGTTTTATTCAGTCTTGGAAGTGATATAGGCGTTTCTTTGTTGAGCCAGTTATATATTTTTACCCACCTAATTGTTATGTATCTTAGTTAACCCTTTTGAGCCTGTAATCTTGTTTCTTTGGCAACCATATTACATGCCTTACTTATTTGTATGAATTGACCATATATTTGAAACTTGTACCTCTCGTGAGCACTTAAAGTTGTTAGAAACTTTGTAAAAGTTAAAAGTGTGGGGTGTTGGTTTGGCTTTTGAGTGGAACTATTGAAATAGGAGAAAGGTGCATTGTTTTGAAAAAGTAAGAGTCACTTGAATTGAAAAAAGAAAAGTAAAAATAGTAGTTGTATTGTTGTTAAAAATACTCCTTGATAGTGGTAATTCTTGATGTAATTGTGCTTAAAGAAGTAGGGAGTTAATGTATATCGATGTGAAGGTGGAGTTATGATTTGACATAAGTGTGGGGTTTTGAACGGTTAATTGTATGTATTAAAAGTACTTAGGGAGGTGTAGTCACTCTTATATCTAAATGTATGGTACCCATCCGACAACCTACATTACAACCAAATAAAGTCCTACGTGATCCTTGATTGAATGATCTCGATTAGTTGAGTAGTACACTACAGGCAAGCTTATGGTGCATCTTTTGTGGCATATGAATGTTGTTTTTGAGAGTGAGTGAATTCTTTCTATCTTGAGTTCCTAATTGTTATTAAATTTTATTGGGCGTGGAACTAATCTCTATTTTTGTGTGAGGGCACTTGATTCCTGAAGGAAAGGTAATGTCGTTGACCTCTATGTTAGAGTAAGTGAGCGAGTTGTGAACAATGCATGGTATTTGTGAGTCAAATCTTGAGGCAAGAATGTTACACTATTGTGCGTAGTCTATTTTAAAAATTCTTGGTTTGATGAGTTAGGAGAGTTGTTTAAAAAGATTGTGTTTATATAAAGATCATGTTTAAAAAGGCTATAATTACGTGTTTTATTCGTTTATTGTACTCTAATTTACTGCACTTTAATTGTGTTTGAGCTTTAATAGTTAGTGTTTTGTACTTATTGTGTGTTTTATGCCTTGTAGGAATGATTCCGAACTATGTAGATGTTGTGGAGCTAATTCAAGCTATTTGGAGATTTGATATGAGGCTTGTGAAATCTAAATTGAGGCTTGCTACATCGGAGGTGCCAGTGCCCTGCTCCCCTTCCACCAGAAGAAAGGGGAAATGTCTGCATCTTATGCTGCTCTGACTTGAGCTGAGCTACATCCTTTTTGAGTTGAGGCACGTCCAAAGCTCCACCTCTCTCAACCTTCTCAGGGCGTACTTCAAAATGCTTGAGTCGGTCCTCATATGATAGATGTTGTTTTTGAAGATCACTCACTGAGGTTTGAATCGGGGCCAATGCTTGCCGGATGAGAGATGGAAGTTCTTTGGCCAATTTGTCTACTTTGCATTTGCATGTTGTGCGAATAGACCAAGCTTGGAGAGTGCAGGCAGTGAGACAGGTGGCGTCGCAGTGGCTGGTCTGGGAGTGGCAGTGCGGAAGAAGTGTCTGGCACTGATGAGGCAGCAGGTGCTGCTAAGGCTGGAAGGGGAGTGAGTGATTGCTCTGGTAGATCTTCGACCACTTTATCTACAACATCATTGATCCGAGTGATGTAAATATACTGAACAACTTTTTCTATGCGGTCATGTTTGGGGAAAGGAGGAACTGTCCCAGCTTTACACAAAGCATGGATTAAGCACGGAAAAGGGAGCGAAGTTTCTTTCTCATTTGCCTGGATCCCAATCTCATGGAATATAAGCTCTCCCACATTAATCTTGATACATGACATGATGCAAGCAATGAGGATCACCTTCTTGATACTTATGTCGGTTTCATTTCCCGAGGGCTTTATACGAGAACAGATAAAACATAGCCATACCGGCCTTCTTGGGTAAAATCCCTCTTGTGTATCCTTTGGCGCGGTGCAATCTAAGATGGAGTTCCCTTGGCTATGATAAAGGCTACCCAAGCACGCTCGGATTCATTGTTTTCAATCTTCGCGTCAAATTCTGCCGTGCCTGGCTCCCATTCCTCGAAATATACATCATTGATTGATGAGGCATCACAGAGTATTTCAACTCCTCTGACTAAGATAGAGCCTACGAATCTACGGTTTCTCTTTTGTTATGCGTTCCTGTATGCAGCATAGACAACATAAAATTCCCTAACGAGCGTCTCGTTGTACTCCCCCGGAACCTGAGTGAAGGGCTCCCATCCCCTCTTTTTGATATTTTCTAGCACATGGGGGTAGTGTTCTTTTAAACCTTTCAAGCCTAGCTGCTTTTCTTCGAGGATTTTTCTTTTTGCCAGGCCGTCTCTGTATAGAGTCCAAGAGCAGGAAATCCCAAACCTAAGATCTTCACCACTTTTTCGGCGTGCTTCGGCATGGAGGTCAATTAGTGGCACAAGGTCAATCTGTGCCTCCTCCTCTTTAGACTGGGAGGTATGCTTAGATATATTTCTGGATGTGTCAGGCCGTTTGCGTTAGGATTGATGTGATTGTGGGCTTATAACAGCATCCCGTTTCTTTCCTCGAGCGGGGGGTTGTCGCAATGCTAGGGATTTCTTTGGTGCCATTCATGTCAATTAATCAAGGAGTGAGTACATGATATCTCATAGGTAACATATTGAAAAGAAATGAAAAACAAAGAAGGTTCTGCGACTAGTTATGCAATTGCAAAACAATTCTGTGAGCCGCAAAACATTTCGCATAATACAACCATCAGAAGCAAAACAAATTATGCGGTCTGCAGAAGTGGCCTTAGAACAATTGTGCGACCACAAATTGGTCGCATTTTGTTCTTCAGATCTAGCCTTTTTTATGCCTATATCTGCGACCATTGTGCTGTTCGCAAATCGTTTCTGTGGCCGCAAACTCAACCGTACATGGGCTTTTTAGAAAACCTATAGTATGCAAAATGCGATGACTTTGTAGACCACAAACTAGTTATGCGGACCACAAAGATCATCGTTCCTAATCAAAAAGGTATTCACATGCAATTGCACAAACACCAAATTCATACTCAATCCCAAATGCACAAGCACACTCTTAGTCATCAGGATGATATACTATGCAAATTTTCACAGCTTTCCAACCCACGCCTTACCAAAAACCAACCAGTATGGTAAGGTGCCAATGGTAGTCTTAAATGCTATGCGATATGCCCACAATGCATCATCTAGCTTCTTTGACCAGTCGGTCCTAATTGCATTAACAATTTTCGCTAGAATTTTTTTGATCTCCCGATTGGAAACTTCAACTTGACCGCTCGATTGAGGATGATAAGGGGTGGCCACCTTGTGTTTAACTCCATATTTTTCAAGCAACCCGGCAAAAGCTTTGTTGCAAAAGTGAGAACCACCATCACTAAGGACGGCCCTTGGGGTTCCAAACCGAGTAAATGTATTCTTCTTCAAGAAGGCGGTTACACTCCTGGCCTCATTGTTCGGTAAGGGAATTGCCTCGACCTAATTGGAGACATAATCTACTGCCACCAAAATATATATCATGCCGTAAGAGCTTACAAAGGGACCCATAAAATCTATCCCCCACACTTCAAAGATCTCGACCTCCATCACAATGTTCATAGGCATTTTATGCCTTCTAGAAATTGACCCTTGTCTTTGACATTGATCACATGCCTTGACCATTTGGTTTGCATCTTGGTAGATCGATGGCCAATAATAGCCACATTCAAGAACTTTTGCCGTAGTACAATTTCCACCTTGGTGGCCCCCCACTGGAGAGTCATTACATGCCTTGAGAATTTGAATTACCTCATCTTCCTCCCAATAGTATTGCCTACACTCCCGCAAGAACGTTTCCTTTTGATAAGCTTCCAATCCGTCGGGGATAAGGTTACTAACCAAGAAGTTAGCGATGTCGGCATACCAACGACNATTAGTGGCACAAGGTCAATCTGTGCCTCCTCCTCTTTAGACTGGGAGGTATGCTTAGATATATTTCTGGATGTGTCAGGCCGTTTGCGTTTGGAATGATGTGATTGTGGGCTTATAACAGCAGCCCGTTTCTTTCTTCGAGCGGGCGGTTGTCGCAATGCTAGGGATTTCTTTGGTGCCATTCATGTCAATTAATCAAGGAGTGAGTACATGATATCTAAGATGGATTTTTTTGGTGCCTTCTTGATACTTATGTCAGTTTCATTTCCCGAGGGCATTATACGAGAACAGATAAAACATAGCCATACCGGCCTTCTTGGGTAAAATCCCTCTTGTGTATCCTTTGGCGCGGTGCAATCTAAGATGGAGTTCCCTTGGCTATGATAAAGGCTAACCAAGCACGCTCGGATTCATTGTTTTCAATCTTCGCGTCAAATTCTGCCGTGCCTGGCTCCCATTCCTCGAAATATACATCATTGATTGATGAGGCATCACAGAGTATTTCAACTCCTCTGACTAAGATAGAGCCTACG